ATTGCCAAGCTCTCAGATATATAGCAAGTAATCGGAAAGACCATGTCCTGAATTAGATGCACCTTAGTCCTCATACTGACATCATTACCCCTCAGTAATTTGGAGAGGTCACTAACCAAATTTTATAGACATTGAAAATACACTAAGACATTATCAAGAGAATAGCGCCACAATGTTGTGAAGTAGAGATTGCAGAACTGAGTGATAACATAGTAAACTTGCACAGTAACATGCTTTTATTGCTGATGGCACAAGCATTTTGTGATTGGTTACAAATTCAAAAGCTGGCAATTCAAACCCAGCCAGCAACCTCTGGATGAGCGATTTGGCAATCTGCATCTGTAAATACTACAGCCAAAGGGATATATAATTAGGTATTATTGTCATGACAGGAGTCTAGGTAGAAGGCTGCATAGTGGACTGGACTTGGGGGGAGGGATTGTATAACAATGAAAGAATTTTTCTTTTACTTTTCAAAGAGAAGAATGAACGAGGGGTGCAGGGAGAAAAGTGCAACAACAACTGAATGGAAATCCAAAGTCTCTGTAAATTTTCATTAAAATTCATAATAATAAGAAAAATATATAAAGAGAAAAAAATACTAGAGCCAAGAAAATTCCATGGAACTCTACTCTGGAGAAAATGAGGTCACCAAGAGTTAAACTCTTTGGCAATGTGGTAAAGGTTTTTGTTTTGTTGTTTTGCAGGGGCGGAGTGTATTTTTACTACTGCTGTTGTTGGGTTGGTTTGTTTTAGTTTGTTGTTGGTACAAAGAAGATTTTCCTAGAGGCCCAAGTTGATGTTTACAAGAGGGCAACCTAAGCTACCTTTTAAAAAGACTGGGTTGTAATAGGCATAGAGCAGTGGTAATTAATCATATCACATAGAATGTATATGAATTCTTGTATAAAACAAAATTGGAAAGCATGTACACCGGAGATGTGTCCTATCTCCATATCTTTTCAATCTATATGCAGAACAGACTATCTGGAAGGCTGGACTCTACAAGAAGAAATGCGGCATCAGGATTGATGGAAGATCTATTAACAATCTTGAGTTATGCAGATGACACAACCCTGCTTGCTGAAACTGAGAAGGATCTGAAGTGCTTGCTGTAGGTGGTCAAGGACTGCAGCCTTCAGTATGGGCTGAGGCTCAATATCAAGAAAACAAAAGATTCTGGAGTAGCGTTAGAGTGGAGAGAGTTGAGGAGGCTGCGTCCGACTCCCGCTCTCACAGCCATTGCAGTGCATTGAGCTCCACAGAGACAGCGTTGGGCAAGGCAGAGCCAGATGGCGCAAGACGACTCTGTGCCTCGAGGACAAGAAACCACGGGCAAAGGAGATTCTAGAAACCAAGAGGCAAAATGTCATCGTATGCACTTTTTGTGCAACTCTGCCGAGAGGAGCACAAAAAGCAGCACCCAGATGCTTCTGTCAACTTCTCAGAATTTTCTAAGAAGTGTTCAGAGAGGTGGAAGACCATGTCTGTTAAAGAGAAAGGTAAATTTGAAGACATGGCAAAGTCGGACAAGGCCAGTTATGAAAGAGAGATGAAAACCTATATCCCTCCTAAGGGTGAAACAAAAAAGAAGTTCAAAGATCCCAACGCACTGACAATGAGGCTCCCTTTGACTTTTTTCTTATTTTGTTCTGAGTATCGTCCCAAAATCAAAGGCGAGCACCCTGGCCTTTCCATTGGTGATGTTGCGAAGAAGCTGAGAGAGATGTGGAATAAAACTGATGCCGGTGACAAGCAGCCCTACGAGAAGAAGGCTGCTAAGCTGAAGGAGAAGTGCGAGAAGGATATTGCTGCATACAGGGCTAAAGGCAAGCTTGATGCTGCCAAAAAGGGAGTTGTCAAGGCCGAGAAAAGCAAGAAGAAGGAAGAGGAGGAAGGTGAGGAGGATGAGGAAGATGAAGAGGATGATG